AAACACGCAGATTTTTTTAAATATTCTTTTATGGTGGCTGGTGTATTCTTAACACAAGCAGAGTGTATTTTAATCTTCCTTTATGATGGCTGGTGTATTCATAACACAAGCAGAGTTTTTTTAAATCTTCCTTTATGGTGGCTGGTGTATTCTTAACACAAGCAGAGTGTATTTTAATCTTCCTTTATGGTGGCTGGTGTATTCTTAACACAAGCAGAGTGTATTTTAATCTTCCTTTATGGTGTCTGGTGTATTCTTAACACAAGCAGAGTGTATTTTAATCTTCCTTTATGGTGGCTGGTGTATTCTTAACACACGCAGAGTGTATTTTAATATTATTTTATGGTGGCTGGTGTATTCTTAACACAAGCAGAGTGTATTTTTTCGTAAACTTAAATTTATCTTAATTAAACCATTTGATTTTGGAATACAGCATTTTATGTAGACGGAATCTTCTTTTCAAAACAAAAAATCCCGGTTGGGGATCCGCAAAAAAAACTTGGATTAAAAGGGGTTCCTGGGATTACTAAAGTTTGTGAACCGCTGTTTTAAAACATTAGAACAAAGTTTTATCTGCTGTACTGTTTGTTTTTACTCTATTCTATACAATTTCAGTAAACACGTTCACAAAAACGGACACTTCTGAAGCTTATTGATAAAATTGTAACAGAAAACTTGTGGATTTCATTAAAAAACACAGCGTGGTAGATAAGATGTTTTAATACAATATATATCATCTGATTTATGAGCCTCCAAGAGTATCTGAAATTGTAATTTGTGTAGCTTTTCAAATTTACAAAAGTTTCTATATTAGGTCTGAAGAAACGTTAACTAACAACAACAATTTTTACCGGCAGTATTTCACCTTTTCTGTTGTTACTTCTGAAACATGCCGGATTCTCTTTCAAAAAAGTCATTCTATTTGTGATTTCTAATAATGTTTTCACAACAATGTTTTGGAATATGAATGCAACAATGATATATGGTTTTTAAACCAATAACACTAACGAATTCCAAGAATACGAACTATCGCTTTGTATCCGAGGTTTATTCTTACCTTTATATCCAATAAGCGGTTCCACTTGGGTTTAAAGAAGAAAATTATACCTTCAACAGCGCCCTCTCTTGTTACAGCGACGATTAACAATGATATCAAGACCAGGTAAGGATAACTAGCAGTGACGTAAACTACCTGTATAAATTTAAGACCACACGCTCGAATTATTTCTAATCGATGGTCTTTTAAATGAGAGAAATAATCTCACAGAAAATTACAATCAGTTTAAAAAAAAACACCCAACTATTTGGAAACTAAACTAATCAATATCAGTTAGTTTTGATCAGATATTATTGATGATCGATTATAAGAGATGGTTAGTTTGAGATATAAAACTACACGCCTTTTAAAACTTACGGTTTAAACGCGGAAACTAGGCCTAAGATTTACGATAAAAACACGTAAAACGCGGAAAGTAGGCCTAAGATTTACGATAAAAACACGTAAAACGCGGAAAGTAGGCCTAAGATTTACGATAAAAACACGTAAACGCCATTTTGACTCGCTTCTGATTTTGTATTCGAAATAAATGTTAATAGGAATGTGTGTATAAAAAATATATATACAGTTTACATGATTTTTTCTTAATTTATTTCAAGTTTCATCCTAATTAACGGTTCTTATATACTGTTGTCTTCACATGTAGTCCTAATAAGACCTGCTTCGTATTTATAAAAACACAGCTTCTCGTCCAACTTTTACTATTGTTGTTTCTCTGAGAGTCTACTCGGTACGCTTATATATATATATATATTTCATACGACTCTTTCTGGATCCTTTTTTTTTTTTTCGTCTTCTTTACACTATAGTTGATGGTTTACTTCTCTGGCTTCTAACGCTAGCTGTAAATTTTGATGACAATAGCTTTGTGAAGCTTTTGTCTATATTTGAACCTAGGAGCTTGTTCGTTGCTATATCAACAGAGAATGGAGAATATATTGTAGCTTCAATACATCCCAAGAAGACTTGGTGGGTACCAGAAACGACTTTGTGAATCTTTACAGGGATTTCTTGTGAATCATGAGGAGAATCCTAGGTATACCAGGATGAATTTTGTGGATCAAGAGTGGGATTCCATGTGTACCAGACAGGACTTTGTGAATCTTTACAGGGATTTCTTGTGAATCATGAAGAGAATCCTAGGTATACCAGGATGAATTTTGTGGATCAAGAGTGGGATTCCATGTGTACCAGACAGGACTTTGTGAATTCTAAGGGTATTCAGTGTGCTCCTGGCAGGACCTTGGAATTAAAGAGGTTATCTTGTGTTGTGTATGCGACTGTGTATCATTACACGTTGTTTCTATAACTTCAGACATTTTACCCAATCAGTAACAACTCAGGTCTGACTACAAGGTACTTATCAGGACTACACCTACAGACTCCAATACATCTAGCAGTAGTGACCTCTGTGGTCTACATTTGGAAACTTTACCTTTCCTAAAGACTGGATACCTTTAACCAGACTCAGGAAAATAATCGCCCAGGCTGCAAATAGTGACAGGACTAGCCTCCAATCTACGGAAGACATTCCCTCCAAACCGCCAGCGTCCTTCAACACATACTTACTGTAAAACAACGGGAAAAGAAACATTACAAAACACCTCGTTGATTTTTGAGGTTTAAACAAAAACCTTAAATTAAATACTGCAAGTATATTTAAGCTTGTGAATTTTTTCAGTTAATCTAATGCTTAAGAAATCATCTTTTCTTTGATTTATTCAATTCACGGGTGCTTGTCACTAGGTGAAAAGTAATTTTTTCGTTTAGATTTTCAGCCAATATCTTAATATTTGTATGTTTTTATATAGGTTATACGCCATACTATAAAGATGGACAGATAATTTTAAAACGTTTGGACTTATAAAAAACTAATTCGACTTACTTAATTAGTGTTTATTAATTACTATTTACTCGTGTGTTATTAGCCATGGAGCTCCGCAGTTGGGTCTCTGGGAACAAACCCGAATTTATAAGCTCTGAAGCTTACCCTTGAACCACCAGGGGACGGGGTGTGTGGGTGTTTTTCTTATAGCAAAGCCACATTCAGCTATCTGCTGTGTTAACCGAGAGGAATCGAACCCCTGATTTTAGCGTTGTAAATCCAAAGACTTACCGCTGAACCACCAGGGGGCAGGGCTACTATTTGCACTTATATATTTCGCTTTTCCTCTTGTAAAACTATAAGATTAAAGCACTTTTAGTTTCACACAAAGCTATATTCAAGGCGGGTTAGTCAACAGCGCCTCCCGCCAACTCTCGAGCTACTCTTCTCTGTCCGAAACACTATTTCATTGACATTTTCATAGCGCACCCACGGCCTCAAAATGCGGAGCAAGTTTTTGTAGGAACGGGACGCGAACCATGAAAAATCAAATTCAAAGATCAAGCGCATTAACCACTAGGCCACGCCTTGACCAAAGCTAAAACAACACAAAAAAAGTACATGCAAGGCTTTTGCAGTGTTGCTTGAAAGAAAGGGAGATGGGAGGGGGAGGATTGTTTGTTTATAATTTTTCCGTAAAGCAACAGAAGGGCTATCTGTGCATAGCCCTCCCTAATTTTTAACTGATAAAATAGAGGGCAGGGAGCTAGTCACCATTTCTCATCGCTAACTCTTGGAAAGTTAGATTTTTATTATTAAATGCACATAAGTTATTATTTTATAACTAAATATGGCGACCGTCCCTGAATGAGGTGGCCTTGAAGCTGAGTAATAGTGCATTTTAGCCACGGAAACGCGCGTTTCTCTCTGCTTTGTCTATTGAGCTATCAGCATGTCTGCAACTGTATATTTAAACTAAATGTCAAACATCCTCGCTTACAGGTAGCTATAATAATTTACAAATCGTATAGATGACGCTGTTAGACAGAAGATAAACATGAAACGCTAGTTACGTTTCATTGTTGTTAAGCGCACAATGGATTATCTGTGCCGTGCCCACTGCGGAGATCAAACGCTAAATTTTAGCATTAGAGGTTATAAGGCTTACCGCTAAGCCATCGTAGGAAGGAAAAGGATAGGAAATGAGTTAAAACAACAAGAACTTTTTACTGGGCCTTTCAAATCCACAATCTCACTTTATATGATGTGATGATTATATAATTATTATGGATTAATTATTTATCAATTCACATTTTTTACAAGCAAAATGGGAGAATGTAGAAGACGAATAACTTACTAAAAGAACTGTTCTGCTGAAGAAGATCGATTTAGAAGATTCGTTGTTTCGTTCGTTAAATTCTATTAAAAAACAAACAAACATAAAAATTGTTTTAAATAAACTTTGAAATATTACATTCAAAACTTTCTTGAATAATTTAATTAAGAACATGAACGTGTAGAAAGTCATATTATACGTGAACTGAAATTTACATTAGTTAATTAAAGAACAATGATGTTTTTCACCAATGTGTGTTTTAGTTAATTAAAAAACAAGAATGTTTTTGCACCAATGTGTGTTTTAGTTAATTAAAAAACAAGAATGTTTTTGCACCAATGTGTGTTTTAGTTAATTAAAAAAACAAGAATGTTTTTGCACCAATGTGTGTTTGAGAATATATCTAAATTCATTCCCTAAACGTTTAAATACATGTTTCTAAACGAGACAACATTTTATTTGTCCGTGTTTGATCTTTTGTAATTAGTTTAGTGTTCCATCGTAAACATATATTTCAAGCTGATTTTTCCGCGCACACAACTAGCAAGCGGATAATATTGATATTTTAAAGATTATGACTAGCACTAAGTTGCGATTTTTTTTTTACGTAATTATATCATTCTGTCATAATTTACCCTTTCATTTGTTTGTTGTAAAGCTACACGATGGGCTAGCTGTGCTCTGCCCACAATTCTATGTACTTCACTTTGAACTCTACCATCGTAAAGACTCTGATAAAATCATTCAATGCCGCTTATATACAATTTAACTAAACGTTACGCAACTTACCAGTTTGTGGTCATAGCACGTATCGTCTGCCCAAGTGACGTCACACTGTGTCCAGGGTAGCTGAGCCTGCATGGAGGAGACTATATAAAACAAAGTCAGACTCATGATGTAGGTGTAGAAGACGGCGAAGTAAAACCCTGTGAGCATCTGGCCAATCCCTATACCTGTTGGAAACAGAAACAACTCTTGTAAGTAAGGTAAGGAAATGTTGGAAACAGAAACAACTCTTGTAAGTAAGGTAAAGAAATCCTGGAAACAGAAACAACTCTTGTAAGTAAGGTAAACAAATGTTGGAAACAGAAACAACTTTTGTAAGTAAGGTAAAGAAATGATGGAAACAGAAACAACTCTTGTAAGTAAGGTAAGGAAATGCTGGAAACAGAAACAACTCTTGTAAGTAAGGTAAGGAAATGTTGGAAACAGAAACAACTCTTGTAAGTAAGGTAAGGAAATGTTGGAAACAGAAACAACTCTTGTAAGTAAGGTAAAGAAATCCTGGAAACAGAAACAACTCTTGTAAGTAAGGTAAAGAAATCCTGGAAACAGAAACAACTCTTGTAAGTAAGGTAAGGAAATGTTGGAAACAGAAACAACTCTTGTAAGTAAGGAAAAGAAATCCTAGAAACAGAAACAACTCTTGTAAGTAAGGTAAAGAAATCCTGGAAACAGAAACAACTCTTGTAAGTAAGGTAAAGAAATCCTGGAAACAGAAACAACTCTTGTAAGTAAGGTAAAGAAATCCTGGA